AATTACCGAGCCAGGCCTCACGGCCAATGCACTCAATGTTATGGATGAAGGCATTCCATCCTTGCACCAAGGCCTTACCATCTCGATCACGGTTTCCATTGTACCATCGATGCTTGACAAACACATCGGCGTAGAATTCTTCCTCAACACAAGTAGTTTCCGTGCTGGTAATCAGGAGGAAAGATCCTCCTACAGTCCAACAACGGGATTCGATCCCGTTCGGTGATCATGCCGGCCACTCGATCTAATTCTTTGGATGACGGCATTCAAGGAGACTCTGCTTAAGGAGCATGGCGCTAGACATTGCGGTCCCTGGACTCGTGTGTGGTGCTAGCATGATCACTAGCACCAATATCAGCTCGAGGAATCGACTTCTCTTCTCGTAGTGACGCTTAGGTATGTCACCACCATCACCACGCGTCCTAGTGTCAGATGGACTTGCGTGAGACAAGGATTCGTCAGACGAATAGCTCGGTCCAAAGATCTCGGACATGATGCCGCCACGTTCCCCAGAGCCATTCAACCGGGCTCTTGCAGTGTTCGCCCCGGATGATCCGGAGGCGTGAGGTGTCACCTTCGAGTAGGATGCATCATCCGGCTCGCAATCAGGATGATCCCTATATCAGGCTCATCGAAATTGAGAGTCGTAGCACCCGATGCAGAAGCAGCGGATGCATTGGTCGCACGTGGTGACTCACCACGGGGACCAGTATCAACAGCAGGCGAATGATCACCTGCTGCTGAAGCAAGAGAAGAACCCTCTCCGGCTGCACGCATGCGTGTAACAGCCTTACTTGTTGCTTCGGCAGCGCACCACATGGATTTTGAAACCATGCGATAAATTGGCATATGAGTTGGATTTAAACAAGTGGTGCTTCCTTTCCCAGAGTGATCCAACGGTGTTTACATGTGTCGATAATCAATAAATCTAATCACCAGTGTTTTTAATGGTTAGGGGGGTTATGTAACGGGGTAGCCCGTCACATGATATTGACACCAAACGGTGTTCAAAGGGAGATTGTCTAGCGTGACACTCTCCTGACAATATTACCTGAGAACGTAATATTGAAGGAATTTTATCCCCTTTCAGGATAATATATACGTCCTGCTCAAGAAGTGGTTGATAAAAGACAAATCAACCATAGACTACCACCAATCGCTGCTAGACGTGCAAAATGAGTGGTGAGCAGGTTGTTGACGTACGACGACGTAGTTTGATATAGTTAGATAAAGACCGAAGTTACATTGATAACTTAACTATGTTAATCACAGTTCTCTTTTTACCCTCTACTCAAACTAGCAGTTTGGGTAGATTATCTTCGTCTGTACGTACAAGTGTACGTAAAGTTTCGTGGCCACCACGCTAAGGGTCGTCCAATACAAGCAGCAAGTGAAGATGATAAAATGGCTAGCACGTTCACCGGATTTATTCCCGTTTGAAATCCTGCGGTCAATTTTGGCAGCGAAAGTGTAAGCTAACAATAAGCATTAGTGAAATGTCAACGAGCTATCAGCGACCATTTCGTTTGAGTGAGCAGGTATCGAGTTAGAAATCCTGCGCAACCTCGTTGATTTAATGTCAAAACGATGCATTGAAGTCATGCAGTTATGTGGCAACGAGATCCATTGTTGAATACATGCGACCCTTCTCTTGTATTTGAATTTATTTTTGTCAGGATATTGGTGGTTTTTCTTTTGACCACGTCCATTTCTTGACATTCGTATGGAAGACCACTACAAACTGCTAAAAACGGTTCGATTACACACGCACCCTATTTATTACGATTACAAATGTATCATGTTCAAATAAAAGTTCTATATTCGTTATAGTCGCTGAGACTTGGGTAATCATAGGGTGTACTTTACTTTTGTCCTGGTGTGTAAGATAAGCAATCACCATGTTGAGACTTTGTGCTTTTGCGCTGACATCAAAATATGGGTGGTGATGGAGATGTGGTGAAGTCGGGTTCGCTTATTTTAATGAGGCGATCGCGACTCTTTACTGGGACTTAGAAAACTGACTAACGGAGCAGTTGCTCCGATTCCGCTTGCACTTGTTTCCTCCGTTCCTTGTGTACCGTAGGTCGGGCGGGTTGCACTCTTCTAGGTGGACTTGACTCGATGCTGAACATAACCGTTTTAGAGATTGGTGTCGATCGAGAGAAAATTCCTCACCCGATCGCGTGTTCTTGGTTGGCGCTCTCCCAGAGTCACCGCGATCAGCCTTATTCGCCTTGTGCCACAAATATGGTACTTGAGTCGCGAGCCTTCTGACCACTTGAGCCGTCTCGCGATCTCGTACTTCAACCAGTAAGATTGCCTGTGTCCGATTGCAGTTGGGGTGTGTTGAGAGTACTTAACTCCTGTCCAAATGTCTCCAGGAGTGATCTTTCTGCCCTTAGTGTCGAAGTTCTCTGACGTCGGGAGGCCAAATATTAAACCCGGAAGAAGAATGACACGTTTGTGTTTAAAAGCATAATGATCTCTGTTTAGTGCTAACCAACCAAAACCCGAATCTACAACCACGCCTACTCCGTATGTCAGGATTGACCGCCACGTGATTCTCCATGCCGAATGGATTTGCAAATCTTCTAAATCACGTGGCCCACGTCAGATCGCGGTCCCTTGATGGAGATTCCTAGATCATGGTCTCCTGATCGCGGTCCTCTGATCGCGGTCCTCCAAAGGCGGTCCCCTGATCGCGGTCCTCCGATTTTTCTACAGTCTACGACCGTGCGGACTAGATGGGGTTGAGCCTGTTGGGTACTCCTAAAGGTAACATCCAAATAACTGGCTATCATTTCACGAGCGATTCAGCCAATACCACTCATGCTCAGCCGAATCGCCTAGGCTTTTGGACCCGATCTCGATCGGCTTTATCTCGAACAAATGACGGAACAACGTTTGCACGTGCGATTGCTGTCTACAGGATATCATCCGTTGGCGCACATGAAAATAATTAAAGCGGCAAAGAAAGGTAGAACGGATTTCATTTTACAACCTACACAGATGCAAGGTGCACGGGGACACGACCCGAGATCTCATTAGCACAGCGGTTTTCCATGATTGCTTTTCGTTATTCATTAAAAAACCTTTTATTAACAAGCACGGTAATCCAGTAATCAGCTTACAAAGATTAATATGGCCATGGATTGCGTCCAGAATATGGTAGTCTTAATAAGATACATGGGCACCTCATCGTTATGCACACGCGAATTTGTATATGAACGCTGTCGGTAATGTATTGCAAGTAAGCGTGTGCGACGCAATGAAGATGCTGCCATAGTGATTATGACCATACGCTGCTTCTTGCAATGTGAAAAGCTTGTTGTGGTCTCAGATACTCTTTGAGCGTAATGTGAGTGATGGCTCGGAACCAAAAAAGACCATTAAAGCCAGCGATTCTCAACGTGTAAATTGATAACGCTCATTATACAAGTGTTCGCAGCTAGTCGAAGTATTAACACATTCTCAAGAGATATAGCAAGAGCGGCGTTATACAAGTGTTCATAGCAAGTCATAGCATGAACACATTCTCAAAGCTTCAGCAAGAGCGGCTAATGTCTCTACAAAAGTTAGTGAGTTATGATCCAAACAAATTCCTTACGTAAACATACCAATACTGTAACGGGGTTGCACGAAATTATGGTACTTTGTACCAGAGGTGTTACACACCTGAGGTTTCCCCTTTGTGAAGGTGATATAGAATATCTTATTGGTTTGTAGGGGCTGACGAGTGTCAGCCATTAGGTACGAAAGATCTTTGAGTAGGATTAAGATATTCTATAAGCGTTAACAAAAATAAAATCAGTTCCCATTTCGATCTAAAGGACACGTGGCTTGCGAGCCGTCTTGATCGTTGATCACTGATCAGAAAGAGTTAGCACCTCCTTGGGGTAGCTACTCTTGAGCACTGAGTGCTGTCGATTCACTGAATCGTTAGGTCCCCTGGAACAGGGATCTGAAGCTGTAAAGCTTGTTGACTCGTAAATTCGTTAGTTCTTTGGAACTAAGTTGCTCGTAGAGAGTCAAGTCTTCCTCTGACATAAGGAGCTGTATAGCTCCGCTTTAAATACCCTCTTAAAACGGGCATCCCCACCCAACTCCTCGTATTGAAATGGCGAGGCAAGATGGTGTGGAAACCGTTTGCCTAGCAGTTGCCGCAATACATTACGGCTGGAACGAAGTGGGGCTGTTGGAGCTGTTATAGTTGACCATGTGGATGCACTTGTTGGTCTATGTCACATATTACACCTATTCTGGCAGTTTTTTTGCGCGAATACAATTTACCGATGACGTGCATGCTTGGCACTTTCCGCTTCCAAGCTTCCGACCGGAAAGAGCTCTTCATCTACAATGCTAAATCGCTGACAGCCAAAAATTTGTGAGTCTACATTCAACCTGGGTGAACTTGGGGTCTGCATTCTAAACAGCGATCGTCAATAGCCATACGAGCGCTACTGCATTCCATGCACGTATCGGACTCGCTGCTTACCTTCTTCAATTACTACGCTGTAACAAGGTGAATCGTTACATAACAATTTATAAGAAATTGTTAATAGAATATAACTATAAGAGTTATATTCTCAGAGTATTGTCATAAGGACAAATATTCTGTAGCACTTACGTAGTTCCTAATTGGTTGATATAGGCCATTATATCAACCAACGAAGACGCGCCACGACAGACGCACGCAATGAGTGGTGAGCAGATAGTTGATTTACACATTTGTATTTAGACATAGTTTTAGATGAAGATAAATAGTGATTTATTGCAGACATTAACTATTATAAATACAGTTCTACTTTTTACTTTAACCAGATACTCGCTTCTCCTTACCGTCTTCCTCTGCACGTACCAGTGTACGTGAAGCTCCGAGGCACCGCCGTATTCTGTCATCAGAATAAGTAGCTTGTACTGTCACCAGTACAAGCTTCAGGGTGCCCCGTTACACCTGGTAGCACTTCGTAGTCCTTCCAAGGACCGCGTTCACATCCAACATGAATATGTTGGATGATGAAGATGACCAAAGCTTTCACGCTACACGTGACGGCTACTCCCATTTGAGCGATGTCGAATGGGATGCGGTTGAACGAATGGGTTCGACCATGGGCATCCATGCTGTTAGCGTCATGCTAGAGGCTCTCAATAGAGACGCCCAACATGCTACTATCGCCAAGTTCATTCAAAATGAACTTGACGCAGAACGCGAGAAAGTAGCCTTGCTTCACCAACAAGGTTCTCAACAAGCAGAGTTGTTGAGAGAACAGGGTGCTCAACAGTTTGAACTGTTGAGACAGGAGCAGGCTGCTGCTGGCGGGTCGATGCACTCGCGTCGACCCGAGACTTTGAAGATTGACATCTCCAAGTATAGGGGAGTCAAAGAGGACTCCCTCTTGAGATGGTTCGTCGAATAGGATGACGCCATAAGGGCGCGTCATCGACGACGGGGATATGCAAGTTAGCATTTGCCCAGTCAAATCTGGCAGGACGTGCCAAGACTTGGGCACTGGGGCTCAAGTTGCACGATCCATATGCGTTTGGGTCGTTGGAAGTCTTCAAGTCGCGGCTCAGACAAACGTTTGAACCGCCTAGAGCTGAGTTCAGGGCTCAAACCGAACTCTTGAAGCTCAAGCAGGGTAAGCGTGATGTGCACGCTTACGCTCAACATATACGACATCTCACGAGTTGTATAAGTTCCAATCCGGTGGATGGACACACGTTGGTTTCGGTGTTCATGCAGGGTCTTGCGGATGGTCCCGTCAAGACTCACCTGTTCCGGCTTGAACTAGATTCACTAGAACAAGCCATTTCCATTGCGGAGCAGGAAGACTTCAGTCTGAGACAGGCTTGCGCCAGCTCGACATCATATCATCAACCGAGACGATATGACAACGGAGGTCCAGAGCCGATGGAACTCTGTTATGTAGAGAGCGAGAAGGCTCGCTCTACAGGCTACAAGAAGTTGCAGAGATGCAACAGATGTCAAAAGACAGGACACTACGCTTACGAGTGTAGTGCCCCTCGTCCAGTGTCTCGCGACACTGGGCGTAGTGACCGTCCACCCATGAGAAAGGGGCAGGGACGCGGGTCCGCTGTTGGTGCAAAGACGCAACAACGGGATGGACCGTCAAAAAACGGACAGGATCAGTAGGTGCGGAGCACCCTACTGGTCCAGCAACGTCAAGAGAATTTGTAGGCCTCTTGATGAAGGTTGCTCCCAACACACAAACGTTGTGCGTTGCTGCTCTAGGCAATGAGGTCTCACTCATTACCTTGAAACTCGAAGTGATGAATAAGTTGTCCCTTCGAGCTCTAGTCGATTGTGGGGCGTCCAACAATTTTGTGCGACGCCAATCGCTAGAAGATGGTCACTATAAGTTTAGTAAATGTGACACACTTCCTACGAGGATGACGGTACGTCTTGCGACAGGCGCATCCGTAACCGTCATGAAGCGTATAGTGAAGATTCACTATACGCTAGAAGATACCCAATATGACGATGACTTTATCGTATTGGATTTGGATGACAAATTTGATGTCATCCTTGGGATACCGTGGCTCAAAAGGTACGAACCACGGGTAAACTGGCAACATCGAACAGTAACGATGCCTGCCGCTTGTTCATCAGATGGCCATCTGATGAAAGTTTTGGAGTGTCCACAAGCGTGTGGATGTACTACGAGTGAGTGCGATGGCCTTACTTGTGGTATGGTCGTTAGTACGACTGCACAAAACCTTAGTGTAACAAACGGTTACACTTCGGAGCAAAGTTCCGGCGGCTGTGAGGAAACACAGGCTGCGCCGAAGGTCCACCACTCGAATAAGTCGGGTGGGCCGGGACAAAGATGTATCCCTAGCGGGGAACATCTAGAAGAGAAACAATCGATCGCTCAGGTTAAGCGAAACGATAATCCTAGATCGACTGGAGAGTCTTTCGTAGAGGATCTCGCTGTGGTTGCGCAACCACCGCTAGAGGAAGTAAAGGGAATAAGTCCCAAGATTACAAATACGGCGGAAATGCGTTCCCCGAAACCCGAGGGAATAAGTCCCCGGGAAGACGAAGGAATAAGTCCTTCGAAGCCTGAGGGAATAAGTCCCCAGGAAATGACAGAGACATTAAATATCATAGTCAATAACGGATCAAGTGTAGGCGCTTATACACTTGATCTGATTGCGCCTCCGAAGTTGACTTCGGAGATCACTCAGTTGCCAACGCTCGAACATAAAAGGTTCTTGCGTGATCTGCGTAGTGGCAAAGTCAACCAGATCTGCATACTCGTCGCTGACGACGAGTGCGTAGCCGACATAAGGTCATCAACAGTGTTTACTGAGAACGAGAGAGTTCTCAGTAGTTCATCGATAGACGAGAGCGTCCTCGATGAAAAGACACGAATTGAGCGATATGACTCCCAATCGTGGGAATCGCTCAAGACAAATCCTCTCTACGAAGATTTGGTTGAATTCAAGGATGTATTCCCTGAAACTGTTCCGTGCGAATTACCGAAGGATAAAGGTATTCGACACGAGGTCGAGCTTAAACCAGGCTCGAAGTACTGTGTCATGAAGCAGTGGCCACTGCCCCGTGAACAAGTACTTGCGATCGACAAGTTCTTTGCCGATCGTTTAGCTGCGGGCCATGTGAGGGAATCAACTTCCCCACATAGCTCTCCGACCTTCTGTATGCGAAAAGCAACAGGAGGGTGGCGGATAGTGCACGCGTTCAACAAATTGAACGCTGCAACGGTACCGGCTCAGACGCCGATACCGAGGAAGGACGTAATCATTGATAGTATGTCAAAGAGTAACATCTTTTCGTCCATGGATTTGATGGATGGCTTCTATCAAATCCTTATGCGAGAACGGGACATCCCGTACACAGCAATGAGCACGCCTTGCGGCATGCTCTGGGAATGGCCAGTAATGCCACAAGGGCTCAGTAATGCCCCTGCCACGTTCAACCGATGTGTATCAAATCTGTTGAGACCAGTACGAGAATTCGCGCCGAGTTATTTCGATGACGTATTCATCCATAGTCGAGCTATGGATGGAAAGTCGGACGTTGAGGTTCACAGGTACCACGTCCGACAAGTTCTTACAATCATGCGAAAGCATCAATTGTATGCAAACCTCAAGAAGTGTATATTTGCAGCAAGCGAAATACCACTTCTTGGGTGCATCGTTGGTAAGAACGGTGTACGTCCTGATCCCGAAAAGATCAAGGCGATCACCGACTGGCCTGTGCCGGTCGATGTCAAAGGTCTTCGAAAATTCCTTGGGCTAGCGGCGTATTCGCATAAGTATTCACGCAATTACACCGAGATGACTGTGCACCTCTCTCGTTTGTTGAAAAAGAACGAGAGGTGGTTACGGAACGCTGAATGTCATCGCTCCTTTGATGGTATCAAGCAGAGCTTGATACAATCCCCAGTCCTAGCAATAGCCGATCAGGACAGGCCATTTCATGTGGTCTGTGATGCCAGCGATTTCGCAATCGGCTGTGCATTAATGCAGTACGATCTTGAAGGCGTTGAACGCGTCGTCTGCTATCAGTCGCGTCAGCTGCAACCAGCTGAGCGGAACTATCCAGTGCATGACAAGGAACTCCTTGCCATGAAGTATGCACTCGCGAAGTTCAGAGTCTATCTATTAGGAGATAGACCCTTCGTTGTTTACACTGACCATGCGTCATTACGCACGGCAGTGAACATCCCGCACCTTTCACAACGAATGGCGCGGTGGTTGTCATTCTTTGCGGAATACAACTTTACGGTCGAGTACAAACCAGGACGACTTAATGTCGTCGCTGATGCACTCTCACGTCGTCCCGACTTTGAAACAGTCGCGAAACCCAACAGTGAGACAGTCACTGCTGCGGTTATGACGTCCTCAGTCCCATCTACAACGTTGTATGATGATGTGAGGCGGGCATACGCCCAAGATGGTGAGAGAGTGAAGTTGTTGACACATCTCTCCCAACCATCTCGAGAATCGTTGAAACGATTGTCGTCTGCGTATCGATCTGCATCAGATCGATACACTACTCGTAACGGTTTACTGTATTATACAGCCGTTTCTGGTGACACACCACGTGTTGTCATTCCAGATGATACTAATCTGCGTTTGCGGATCATGTTCGAGTATCACGATGCTCCTATAGGAGGACATCGTGGCCGAGAGAAAACATATCTCACGGTGAGTCGAGACTTTTACTGGCCCCGCCATTATCAGTTTGTGCGAAAGTATGTTCGCGCATGCGAAGTCTGTCAACGAGTGAAGTCAAGTCCTTCACTGCGTGCACCTTTACAGCCTCTACCGGTTCCGGCTAAGTGCTGGGAATCCATCTCAATGAATTTCGTCTTCGGGTTACCCAAAGACGCACGCGGGAATACGGGTATTCTCGTATTTGTTGACAGATTCAGCAAAATGGTATGTTAAAGTTAGCAGAGCGTTGAAGTGAAGATGACTGTTGGTCGAAGTAGCAAAACCAAAAGTGAATTATGTTTGAGTGCCAACTCGATCCTACCGTTGCTACTCATCCTTCCGATCCATTCTTCATGCTACCCGTCCCATCAATGCAGCAAATCCTTTCCCATGTTCCTTTCCCATGTTCCGCTCCCATGTTCCGTTCCTATAACGGGATCTCTGGTGTGGCACACAGCTTTCCGTTGACACACAAAATGGACACAAAATGGGGGACGTCACTGTCTGGCAGGACAGTGCTGGTGAACCCCAAACACCAGGACCCGAAGGTTTAACTTTTGCCGCCGGGTATCGAACCAGTGACCTCTGGGTTATGGCTGCCACACATAACCACTTGAGCTACAGCAAGCTTGGTCTACGAGTAGTACTACTGATTCTAACCTCTGACCCATGGACACACTAATCCATCCTAATGTCCATCTCACACATGTCGCATCACCTAATGTTAACACTCTCCCTTGATGCGCACACGTATGCCTGAAATAGCCTACACTTCCAGATGTAGACCTTGCAGAAAAAAGGCATGCTTGGTACGCCCGAGAGCCTTCGTCAAGCCGTCTGCAATCATCGCTTCTGTTGGCATGTACTCAAGCTCAATGACGCCTTCCTCAACCTTGTCGCGAAGGAAGTGATACTTGATGTCGATATGTTTTGTTCTTGCATGGTAGACTGGATTCTTCGCCAGCGCAATACAGCCTTGATTGTCTTTATAGATGGTTGTAGCCGCTCCAAGTTCTACGCCAATGTCGGATAGTAATAGTCGTAGCCACACCGCCTCTTGCGCTGCAGCGTACAATGCTATGTACTCAGCCTCGGTGCTAGACGTCGCCACTGTCGGTTGTCTCTTCGACTTCCACGACACCACATTGCCGTGCAGAAAGAAAACGTAGCCTGTCGTCGAGCGGCGAGAATCGAGGTCACTTGCCCATGACGCATCAGCAAAACCGAGCAACTCTCCCTTATCGGTGCCGTGAAATACAATGCTGTAATCTGCAGTTGTCTTCAGGTAATTCAAAACACGCTTGGCCGCGATCCAGTGGCTTTTTCCATGCCTTTCGCAGTGTTTAGCCACTTCTCCTACCGCGTGCATGATGTCTGATCTAGTGCACGTTGCAACGTACATAAGTGCACCAACTAGCTCACGGTAAGGCCACTTCGGCACGAATTCATCATCGTCCCCCAGCTTGGTCAGCTTTTCACTTTCGTTTGACGGTGTGTGCACGTCCTTGCATTGGTCGACGCCGAATTTCTCAGTCAAACGCTTGATGTAAGCACGCTGATTCATTCGAATAGATTTGCTCTTGCGATCACGCGTCAATTCGATGCCAAGACAGTACTTCAGTTCGCCGAGCTCTTTAATACTGAACTCGGTCTTGAGTGCACGCTTGATGTCATCGATGTGTTCTTGCGTCCGAGCGAAGAGCATCAAGTCGTCAACGTGAATGATCACCAGACTAAATTGAGTATCCGATTGTCGCACATAGACACAGAGATCGGCAGACGTACGCGTGAACCCTTGGCTCTCAAGGTGTGCGTTAAGACGATGATTCCATTCTCGTGCCGCTTGCTTTGTACCGTACAAAGCTTTGTTTAGCAGACACTTCTTGTCACGGTGTTGCTTGTCCACAAATCCATCCGGCTGATCCATGTAGATCTCTTCCTTGACTTCGCCGTAGAGGAAAGCGGTGTCAACGTTAATGTTCTCCATTATCAAATCTTGCTCCGCCGCAAGTGCTATAGCAACGTTAATTGACTCTTTTCGTGCTACTGGAGCAAACGTCTCAAAATAGTCCACACCAGGACGCTGGGAGAATCCCTTCGCTACGAGTCGTGCCTTGAACTTCACGATTTCTCCGTTAGGTTTGCGCTTTATGCGAAATACCCACTTGCAACCTATTGATATTTTGTCCGAGGGTAAATCTTGAAGCGTCCATGTGTCGTGCTGTGTCAAAGCTTGAATCTCACTTTTCATTGCACGTATCCAGTCGTCCTTGTACTTGCTTTCCAACACTTGAGAGTATGTCGATGCGCTTTCACCATCCTCTTCAGCGCTCAAACAGTACTGCGTCGCGTAGCTAGCGTCATAGTCGTCAAGGTTGAAGGTTCCTCGCCGTAGATTGGGAAACTCTTGCTCGTAGCGCTTGATTGCTTGCTTCTTGCGTGCTGGTCTCACATTCCACTCTTGTTCGCTGTCTCGTCCTGGTGTGCTTGATTGTCGTGTGGTTACTGCTCCGGTTGGTCTGTCCATCGGTACTGTACTATTTGGTGTCATAATTGGACTTCCTGGTACCGGCGTGCAGGTTCCCTCATCGCTTATTGCGTGGTCCCTCGGATCCTGCAGATCGTCGCCATCGCCAACGACGTCAATTACACTAGGCGTATCTTCGTAGCGTGTCTGTTCCACGGCAGTCTCCACAAAAGTCACACTCCGGGAAACGAACACTTTTCCAGTCGCTGTATTTAGAAGTCGATACGCTTTGTGTTGTTTGGCGTATCCGAGCAGCATACACCGCACACCGGAGGGGTCCAACTTGTTCCGATTTTGTTTGGGAGTATGCGCGTAGCAAAGACTTCCAAATACGCGCATTATATCCATACGAGGTTTGCGCTTGAACACCATCTCGAACGGGCTTAGGTTCGGACTTGAAGCTCGTGGAAGAACGTTGAGAATATCCACAGCGGTCAGCATCGCCTCACACCAGAATGTTTTATCCATCTTGGATTCGCTCAGCATACAGCGCGTCATCTCGACTAGTGTGCGATTAAGCCGCTCCGCCATGCCATTCTGCTCCGGATTATACGGCACTGTGAACTCTTGCTTTATCATCTCTTGATGGCAGAATCGAGTCATCTCGTCATTACGGTACTCACCGCCGTTATCACTGCGTAGTACCTTCACGTCCAAATCGCATTCGATTTTGATATCGTGACAGTACCTTTTAAATGCTTTCGTGACTTCACTCTTTTTTCGTAGCGGGAATACCATCGCAAAGCGGCTGTTCATCATCATGAACGTCGCAACGTATCGATAGTTCGATCTTGATGCTGGTGTTATCGGTCCTAGAACATCCGAGCATATGACTGAGTCCATACGATGACTCTCCCTCGCTTCTGCATCAGCCTTAGTGCTGTGGAAAGTCTTGCGTACTTGCTCGGCTGTTGCACATATGTCACAGACGACATTCGAGTCCAAGCATTTTCCTTTAATGCAGCCGTCTTGAATGAGCTTGTTCACAGTCGAGTATGACACGTGTCCAAGTTGGCGGTGCCACAGTTCAGCTTCACCCTCCACCATATGGCATTGTGGACTTCTTCGACATTTAGATTGATAAGCATACCACATCGCTTTCCTGTCGCGACGATTCGCCCGCTCTTTAAAAAAGTGCACCCGTCGCTGGTGATTTCAACCGTCATCCCGCGTGCAGTAGCTGCTGTCAGTGAGAACAGGTTCTTGTTGAGATCTTGCACGTGTAGTGTATTTTCCAGCCGGGCATTGATCCACAATGTGCCATTCCAAACTCGCAAGATCACCGTGCCTTGTCCAAGCACTTTAAGCTTGCACTGTTTTCGCGCTTTTCACGTTGCGTGCCGTCGGTGATGCCGTATAGTCGATAAACGCGTCTTTGTCCTTGCACATGTGCGCCGTTGCGCCGCTGTCCATGATCCAGCAGTCGCTCGTATTTCCTTGAGTTACTGTGAACGCCACATTCAAGTGGTCTTCTTGTCTCTCGCCATTAGCAGCTTTCTTTTTCCTGCAGTCTCGCGCGTAGTGTCCGCGCTTACCACAATTAAAGCACTGAACACTTGACCCTGTCTTCCGCGGACCACCGCTCCTTCTGTTAAAGCTTTTCTTCTCCTGTCGTTTGCCGACATGTAGCGCTGTCTCGTCTTCAATGCGCGTCGAATCCTTCTTGCGCACTTCCTCGGCGATCAGCTTGCTCACCAGATCTTTAAAGCTGAATTGTGTGACGCTCATGCAAAAAGCCTGCACCAGTCCCTCGTATTGCGCCGGGAGACTTCGCAGCAACGTTGCACACGTATCTTCACTTGGTCCACACGAAGCTCCGTTCATTTCCAGCACGAGCCGCTCCAGCTCCATAACGTGGGCGCTCATGTCCGATGCCGTAAACTTGAATGTCGCAAACTTCTCCTTTAGCCACAGCCGACTTGCCATGTCTTGGGTCCGATGAACTCGCGCGAGTGCTCCCCATGCTTCGCATGCACTACTCGTTGTAATGACATGCATGAGCTGAGTATCGCTCAAGTTGAGCACGATTGCCGCATGCGCCTGCTGCTCCTTCGCCTCGGAGACGCCAGATGTGGCGTTAACCGCTTCCCATAACCCCTTAAAGGTGAGGTACATCTTCATTCTGAACGCCCATAACGGATAGTTTGTGCCGCCAAACTGTGCCACCTTGGGCGTGGAGTCGTTACTTGGGCTCATAACCTGTTAAAGTTAGCAGAGCGTTGAAGTGAAGATGACTGTTGGTCGAAGTAGCAAAACCAAAAGTGAATTATGTTTGAGTGCCAACTCGATCCTACCGTTGCTACTCATCCTTCCGATCCATTCTTCATGCTACCCGTCCCATCAATGCAGCAAATCCTTTCCCATGTTCCTTTCCCATGTTCCGCTCCCATGTTCCGTTCCTATAACGGGATCTCTGGTGTGGCACACAGCTTTCCGTTGACACACAAAATGGACACAAAATGGGGGACGTCACTGTCTGGCAGGACAGTGCTGGTGAACCCCAAACACCAGGACCCGAAGGTTTAACTTTTGCCGCCGGGTATCGAACCAGTGACCTCTGGGTTATGGCTGCCACACAAACTAAAACAACCACAGAAACACAGCACTTTTGGTTTTAGTATTTCTCTTCCCTCCCAACCACCCACCCACCAAACCAACACTAATCAAATCCCACACCAAACCTTCCCAAAAAACTAATTTAAAAAAAGGGCACCCCTGGGGGCTGCACCAGACACCCCCGGCGGGGGGCGGTGTTCTTGTGTCTTTATCGACACCATCTTCCGACTTCATGGGTTACCCAGTGAACTCGTATCAGACAGAGATCCACGACTCACTGCTGATTTCTGGCGTTCCGTGTTCAAATCACTCGGAACGCGCTTGAAGATTTCTACATCTGATCATCCAGAGTCAGATGGTCAGACGGAACGTGCCAATCGTGTCCTCGAAGAGATGCTTCGAGGATACGTACACTCCTTTAAGAGTGGGAGTGAGTTTTTGCCAATGGTAGAGTTTGCCATTAACAACTCGGTGCATGCGTCCACGACACATACACCGTTTTACGTAAATGGCTTACGCCATCCGCGTGTACCCACCTTACTAGGGTGTAACTCTGGTTTAAGGGGGGGAGGGACTCGCGCGAGCAAAAACCGAATTGGTTCACGCTCATCACGCTCTGACGAAGAAGTCATTGCGTTTGATGCCGATATCGACAACATCGATATCGAACAAGATGATGCCAGTGAGAGTGCGGAAGCCCTCACTGAAGAAGATGATCCCAGTGAGAGTGCGGAAGCCCTCACTGAAGAAAAGGTTGATGTTGCCGCAGTGCGCTCACAGCGCACTGAAGCTAACGAGTCATCAGATGAGTTCATACTGGCTCGTGAAACGGTAGTCCGTTTTGTGCAAGACTCCATCGCCGAAGCGGTGGATAAGCAAAAGCAAAACGCTGACAAGAATGGAAGGGCAAACACTCTTTTATTTAATAAAGGTGACTTAGTCCTACTGTCTACGGTTAATCTACCAAAGCATGTAGTGACTAACTTGGGTAGCAGTAAACTTCTACCCAAGTACATCGGCCCATTTCGTGTATTGCACCGCCTAGGCAATGCATACACGATCGAGTTACCACGTAAGATGCAAACGCATCCCACGTTTTACGTTGGTCGGCTTAAGCCGTACCATCAGTACGCTGCTTCTTCCGATGAAGAACGCCCTTGCACTCAAGCATCTCGCAGAGAGCCTTGTGCTCCCGATGGTGGGCATCAACAAGGGTCTGAAGAGCAGCTATCTCATCCCGAGACCGATCAGCAATCCCACGAGCTACCCTTAGCTCGTCACGAAGAGATGTCAGAGATCTCTCGTTCTCAAGCTGAGCAAAGGCAAACTCAGCTCGATGCTTCGAGGCAGTGTCCGCCATTTGGAGACGCCTATTCCGCTCATGTTCGAGATCGTCGCGTAACCCTTGCGTTACGCGATCAAAGAAGCTCTCGGGAACACACCGATCCACATGATCGTGTGGAGAGCGTCTTTCCTCCTCCTCCACCTCCATTAGAGGACTCTCGCGGTGGCCAGCGCTATCTAGTTGAGCAGCTGTTGAACCACCGCGACGTGAACGGACGTCGGACGAGTTATCTCGTCCGGTGGCGCGGCTATCCCCCGTCCTGGGATTCTTGGGAGCCCCGCTCCCAACTGATGATCGACGTACTGGGTCTGGTTGAGCAATACGACGCGGCACATCCTGTGCCGCAGAAGGACCGCCGGAGAAAGTCTTCCCGGCACGGTCATAAAGGGATTTCAGGTTGTCAATCCCTTCGTACATCTCAGTAGAGACACGTACGCGCCACCACGGGCTGGTAAGGAGGTAAGCCTCCTTAGGTTCTCGTGCAGAGTTGTTCACACAACATGGGCACGAGTCTCCTCAAGAGAGGCAGGGTAATCCTTTCTCCCTTGACAGAAAATGCAGCTTGTAGCGTGCACCTGTCGGGGTTCGCTTTTCAAACTTATCACGAGCTTTGATAAGTTTGTCGTTCCAAGCGTCACGACCTACATCCTCGAGGTTATGGATGTAGGCGTTCCACGCCTGAAGTAGTGAGGGACCATCACGTTTGTGATTCCCACTGTACCATCGATGTCTAAAGAAAGCATCGATGAAGAATTCATGTTCAGCGCGATAGTTTTTCGCGCTGGGGTCAAGGTGATGGATCCTTGACGAATCGAACAATCGTGTTCGATAATGATCACTCGTCGTCGCCGACAAGTGATCCATGACGGATTTGGGAGGCATCCATGCCTTCTTCTCAGGAGCGAGACGCAACACATTGCGGTCCCGCTCTTCCTGCGACGTGCCGACAGAAGTACTGGCACCTCGCTGTGAAGTGGTGTCCATAGGAGAACCGACACCACTATTAGCGCCCGAGTCTCGCGACCTCGAGCGCCTTCGCTTCGGCGATGGTTCACCTGATTCATCAGATGAACCAAAGATGCTGCGACGCAAAGCATCGTCCATGCCACGCTTGGCAGGCGGCTTAGATTCAATCGCCGTCGATACGGATCCGTCATCCGTATCAGGAGAGTACGAGACACCGAGCTCGTACTCTGTGAAGACACGAGTGTCATCATGACCAGCGCCTGCATCACCAAGTGACACAGGCTGGGTCGCTTCAGCAACCGATGAGACATCAGTTGCTGTTGTTTCTGCTTCGGCGTCCGCACAGAGACGTGCAGACGCGCTCTCGGCGGCCTTGCTCGCGCATCGCATGGGCTTGTTTACCATGCGATGAGATGTTGGGAAGTGGACTCGGACCAACAAGTGCAAACCCTGTCCCACATGATTTGGGACGAGTATCCATTTAGTCAATCAGTCACTAAAGTGACTGATGGTTAAGGGGGGGGTGATGTAACGGGGTGAATCGTTACATAACAATTTATAAGAAATTGTTAATAGAATATAACTATAAGAGTTATATTCTCAGAATATTGTCACAACGACAAATATTTAGTAGCACTTACGAGTAGTTCCTAATTGGTTGATATAGGCCATTATATCAACCAACGAAGACGCGCCACGACAGACGCACGCAATGAGTGGTGAGCAGATAACTGATTTACACATTTGTATTTAGACATAGTTAGATGAAGATAAATAGTGATTTATTGCAGACATTAACTATTATAAATACAGTTCTACTTTTTACTTTAACCAAGTACTCGCTTCTTCTTACCGTCTTCCTCTGCACGTACGAGTGTACGTGAAGTTACGAGGCACCGCCTTATTCTGTCATCAGAATAAGTAGCTTGTACTATCACCAGTACAAGCTTCAGGGTGCCCCGTTACACCTGGTAGCACTTCGTAGTCCGTCCAAGGACCGCGTTCACATCCAACATGAATATGTTGGATGATGAAGATGACCAAAGCTTTCACGCTACGCGTGACGGCTACTCCCATTTGAGCGATGTCGAATGGGATGCGGTTGAACGAATGGGTTCGACCATGGGCATCCATGCAGTTAGCGTCATGCTAGAGGCTCTCAATAGAGACGCCCAACATGCTACTATCGCCAAGTTCATTCAAAATGAACTTGACGCAGAACGCGAGAAAGTAGCCTTGCTTCACCAACAAGGTTCTCAACAAGCAGAGTTGTTGAGAGAACAGGGTGCTCAACAGTTTGAACTGTTGAGACAGGAGCAGGCTGCTGCTGGCGGGTCGATGCACTCGCGTCGACCCGAGACTTTGAAGATTGACATCTCCAAGTATAGGGGGGTCGAAAAAGACTCCCTCTTGAGATGGTTCGTCGAATTGGATGACGCCATAAGGGCGCGTCGCATCGACGACGGGGATATGCAAGTTGCATTTGCCCAGTCAAATCTGGCAGGACGTGCCAAGACTTGGGCACTGGGGCTCAAGTTGCACGATCCATATGCGTTTGGGTCGTTGGAAGTCTTCAAGTCGCGGCTCAGACAAACGTTTGAACCGCCTAGAGCTGAGTTCAGGGCTCAAACCGAACTCTTGAAGCTCAAGCAGGGTAAGCGTGATGTGCACGCTTACGCTCAACATATACGACATCTCACGAGTTGTATAAGTTCCAATCCGGTGGATGGACACACGTCGGTTTCGGTGTTCATGCAGGGTCTTGCGGATGGTCCCGTCAAGACTCACCTGTTCCGGCTTGAACTAGATTCACTAGAACAAGCCATTTCCATTGCGGAGCAGGAAGACTTCAGTCTGAGACAGGCTTGCGCCAGCTCGACATCATATCATCAACCGAGACGATATGACAACGGAGGTCCAGAGCCGATGGAACTCTGTTATGTAGAGAGCGAGAAGGCTCGCTCTACAGGCTACAAGAAGTTGCAGAGATGCAACAGATGTCAAAAGACAGGACACTACGCTTACGAGTGTAGTGCCCCTCGTCCAGTGTCTCGCGACACTGGGCGTAGTGACCGTCCACCCATGAGAAAGGGGCAGGGACGCGGGTCCGCTGTTGGTGCAAAGACGCAACAACGGGATGGACCGTCAAAAAAACGGACAGGATCAGTAGGTGCGGAGCACCCTACTGGTCTAGCAACGTCAAGAGAATCTGTAGGCCTCTTGATGAAGGTTGCTCCCAACACACAAACGTTGTGCGTTGCTGCTCTAGGTAATGAGATCTCACTCATTACCTTGAAACTCGAAGTGACGAATAAGTTGTCCCTTCGAGCTCTAGTCGATTGTGGGGCGTCCAACAATTTTGTGCGACGCCAATCGCTGGAAGACAGTCACTTTAAATTCAGTGAATGTGATACACTTCCTACGAGGATGACGGTACGTCTTGCGACAGGCGCATCCGTAACCGTCATGAAGCGTATAGTGAAGATTCACTATACGCTAGAAGATACCCGATATGACGATGACTTTATCGTATTTGATTTGGATGACAAATTTGATGTCATCCTTGGGATACCGTGGCTCAGAAGGTACGAACCACGGGTAAACTGGCAACATCGAACAGTAACGATGCCTGCCGCTTGTTCATCAGATGGCCATCTGATGAAAGTTTTGGAGTGTCCACAAGCGTGTGGATGTACTACGAGTGAGTGCGATGGCCTTACTTGTGGTATGGTCGTTAGTACGACTGCACAAAACCTTAGTGTAACAAACGGTTGCACTTCGGAGCAAAGTTCCGGCGGCTGTGAGGAAACACAGGCTGCGCCGAAGGTCCACCACTCGAATAAGTCGGGTGGGCCGGGACAAAGATGTATCCCTAGCGGGGAACATCTAGAAGAGAAACAATCGATCGCTCAGGTTAAGCGAAACGATAATCCTAGATCGACTGGAGAGTCTTTCGTAGAGGATCTCTCTGTGGTTGCGCAACCACCGCTAGAGGAAGTAAAGGGAATAAGTCCCAAGATTACAAATACGGCGGAAATGCGTTCCCCGAAACCCGAGGGAATAAGTCCCCGGGAAGACGAAGGAATAAGTCCTTCGAAGCCTGAGGGAATAAGTCCCCAGGAAATGACAGAGACATTGAATGTCATAGTCAATAACGGATCAAGTGTAGGCGCTTATACACTTGATCTGATTGCGCCTCCGAAGTTGACTTCGGAGATCACTCAGTTGCCAACGCTCGAACATAAAAGGTTCTTGCGTGATCTGCGTAGTGGCAAAGTCAAGCAGATCTGCATACTCGTCGCTGACGACGAGTGTGTAACCGACATAAGGTCAGCAACAGTGTTCACTGAGAACGAGAGAGTTCTCAGTAGTTCATCTATGGACGAGAGTGTCCTAGATGAAAAGACACGAATTGAGCGATATGACTCCCAATCATGGGAATCGCTCAAGACAAATCCTCTCTATGAAGATTTGGTTGAATTCAAGGATGTATTCCCTGAAACTGTTCCGTGCGAATTACCGAAGGATAAAGGTACCCGACACGAGGTCGAGCTTAAACCAGGCTCGAAGTACTGTGTCATGAAGCAGTGGCCACTGCCTCGTGAACAAGTACTTGCGATCGACAAGTTCTTTGCCGATCGTTTAGCTGCGGGCCATGTGAGGGAATCAACTTCCCCACATAGCTCTCCGACCTTCTGTGTGCGAAAAGCAACAGGAGGGTGGCGGATAGTGCACGCGTTCAACAAATTGAACGCTGCAACGGTACCGGCTCAGACGCCGATACCGAGGAAGGACGTAATCATTGATAGTATGTCAAAGAGTAACATCTTTTCGTCCATGGATTTGATGGATGGCTTCTATCAAATCCTTATGCGAGAACGGGACATCCCGTACACAGCAATGAGCACGCCTTGCGGCATGCTCTGGGAATGGCCAGTAATGCCACAAGGGCTCAGTAATGCCCCTGCCACGTTCAACCGATGTGTATCAAATCTGTTGAGACCAGTACGAGAATTCGCGCCGAGTTATTTCGATGACGTATTCATCCATAGTCGAGCTATGGATGGAAAGTCGGACGTTGAGGTTCACAGGTACCACGTCCGACAAGTTCTTACAATCATGCGAAAGCATCAATTGTATGCAAACCTCAAGAAGTGTATATTTGCAGCAAGCGAAATACCACTTCTTGGGTGCATCGTTGGTAAGAACGGTGTACGTCCTGATCCCGAAAAGATCAAGGCGATCACCGACTGGCCTGTGCCGGTCGATGTCAAAGGTCTTCGAAAATTCCTTGGGATAGCGGCGTATTCGCATAAGTATTCACGCAATTACACCGAGATGACTGTGCACCTCTCTCGTTTGTTGAAAAAGAACGAGAGGTGGTTACGGAACGCTAAATGTCATCGCTCCTTTGATGGTATCAAGCAGAGCTTGATACAATCCCCAGTCCTAGCAATAGCCGATCAGGACAGGCCATTTCATGTGGTCTGTGATGCCAGCGATTTCGCAATCGGCTGTGCATTAATTTAGTACGATCTTGAAGGCGTTGAACGCGTCGTCTGCTATCAGTCGCGTCAGCTGCAACCAGCTGAGCGGAACTATCCAGTGCATGACAAGGAACTCCTTGCCATGAAGTATGCACTCGCGAAGTTCAGAGTCTATCTATTAGGAGATAGACCCTTCATTGTTTACACTGACCACGCGTCATTACGCACGGCAGTGAACATCCCGCACCTTTCACAACGAATGGCGCGGTGGTTGTCATTCTTTGCGGAATACAACTTTACGGTCGAGTACAAACCAGGACGACTTAATGTCGTCGCTGATGCACTCTCACGTCGTCCCGACTTTGAAACAGTCGCGAAACCCAACAGTGAGACAGTCACTGCTGCGGTTATGACGTCCTCAGTCCCATCTACAACGCTGTATGATGATGTGAGGCGGGCATACGCCCAAGATGGTGAGAGAGTGAAGTTGTTGACACATCTCTCACAGCCATCTCGAGAATCGTTGAAACGATTGTCGTCTGCGTATCGATCTGCATCAGATCGATACACTACTCGTAACGGTTTACTGTACTATACAGCCGTTTCTGGTGACACACCACGTGTTGTCATTCCAGATGATACTGATCTGCGTTTGCGGATAATGTTCGAGTATCACCATGCTCCTACAGGAGGACATCGTGGTCGTGAGAAAGCATATCTCACGGTGAGTCGAGACTTTTACTGGCCCCGCCATTATCAGTTTGTGCGAAAGTATGTTCGCGCATGCGAAGTCTGTCAACGAGTGAAGTCAAGTCCTTCACTGCGTGCACCTTTACAGCCTCTACCGGTTCCGGCTGAGTGCTTGGAATCCATCTCAATGGATTTCGTCTTCGGGTTACCCAAAGACGCACGCGGGAATACGGGTATTCGTATTTGTTGACAGATTCAACAAAATGGTACACCTTGTGGCTGTATCAGAGACAATCACGACAAGCGGCTGTGCGTGTGCCTTTATCGACACCATCTTCCGACTTCATGGGTTGCCCAGTGAACTCGTATCAGACAGAGATCTACGATTCACTGCTGATTTCTGGCGTTCCGTGTTCAAATCACTCGGAACGCGCTTGAAGATTTCTACATCTGATCATCCAGAGTCAGATGGTCAGACGGAACGTGCCAATCGTGTCCTTGAAGAGATACTTCGAGGATACGTACACTCCTTTAAGAGTTGGAGTGAGTTTTTGCCAATGGTAGAGTTTGCCATCAACAACTCGGTGCATGCGTCCACGACACATACACCGTTTTACGTGAATGGCTTGCGCCATCCGCGTGTACCCACCTTACTAGAGTGTAACTCTGGTTTAAGGGGGGGAGGGACTCGCGCGAGCAAAAACCGATTTGGTTCACGCTCATCACGCTCTGACGAAGAAGTCATTGCGTTTGATGCCGATATCGATAACATCGATATCGAACAAGATGATGCCAGTGAGAGTGCGGAAGCCCTCACTGAAGAAGATGATCCCAGTGAGATGCGGAAGCCCTCACTGAAGAAAAGGTTGATGTTGCCGCAGTGCGCTCACAGCGCACTGAAGCTAACGAGTCATCAGATGAGTTCATACTGGCTCGTGAAACGGTAGTCCGTTTTGTGCAAGACTCCATCGCCGAAGCGGTGGATAAGCAAAAGCAAAACGCTGACAAGAATGGAAGGGCAAACACTCTTTTATTTAATAAAGGTGACTTAGTCCTACTGTCTACGGTTAATCTACCAAAGCATGTAGTGACTAACTTGGGTAGCAGTAAACTTCTACCCAAGTACATCGGCCCATTTCGTGTATTGCACCGCCTAGGCAATGCATACACGATCGAGTTACCACGTAAGATGCAAACGCATCCCACGTTTTACGTTGGTCGGCTTAAGCCGTACCATCAGTACGCTGCTTCTTCCGATGAAGAACGCCCTTGCACTCAAGCATCTCGCAGAGAGCCTTGTGCTCCCGATGGTGGGCATCAACAAGGGTCTGAAGAGCAGCTATCTCATCCCGAGACCGATCAGCAATCCCACGAGCTACCCTTAGCTCGTCACGAAGAGATGTCAGAGATCTCTCGTTCTCAAGCTGAGCAAAGGCAAACTCAGCTCGATGCTTCGAGGCAGTGTCCGCCATTTGGAGACGCCTATTCCGCTCATGTTCGAGATCGTCGCGTAACCCTTGCGTTACGCGATCAAAGAAGCTCTCGGGAACACACCGATCCACATGATCGTGTGGAGAGCGTCTTTCCTCCTCCTCCACCTCCATTAGAGGACTCTCGCGGTGGCCAGCGCTATCTAGTTGAGCAGCTGTTGAACCACCGCGACGTGAACGGACGTCGGACGAGTTATCTCGTCCGGTGGCGCGGCTATCCCCCGTCCTGGGATTCTTGGGAGCCCCGCTCCCAACTGATGATCGACGTACTGGGTCTGGTTGAGCAGTACGACGCGGCACATCCTGTGCCGCAGAAGGACCGCCGGAGAAAGTCTTCCCGGCACGGTCATAAAGGGATTTCAGGTTGTCAATCCCTTCGTACATCTCAGTAGAGACACGTACGCGCCACCACGGGCTGGTAAGGAGGTAAGCCTCCTTAGGTTCTCGTGCAGAGTTGTTCACACAACATGGGCACGAGTCTCCCCAAGAGAGGCAGGGTAATCCTTTCTCCCTTGACAGACAATGCAGCTTGTAGCGTGCACCTGTCGGGGTTCGCTTTTCAAACTTATCACGAGCTTTGATAAGTTTGTCGTTCCAAGCGTCACGACCTACATCCTCGAGGTTATGGATGTAGGCGTTCCACGCCTGAAGTAGTGAGGGACCATCACGTTTGTGATTCCCACTGTACCATCGATGTCTAAAGAAAGCATCGATGAAGAATTCATGTTCAGCGCGATAGTTTTTCGCGTTGGGGTCAAGGTGATGGATCCTTGACGAATCGAACAATCGTGTTCGATAATGATCACTCGTCGTCGCCGACAAGTGATCCATGACGGATTTGGGAGGCATCCATGCCTTCTTCTCAGGAGCGAGACGCAACACATTGCGGTCCCGCTCTTCCTGCGATGTGCCGACAGAAGTACTGGCACCTCGTTGCGAAGTGGTGTCCATAGGAGAACCGACACCACTATTAGCGCCCGAGTCTCGCGACCTCGAGCGCCTTCGCTTCGGCGATGGTTCATCTGATTCATCAGATGAACCAAAGATGCTGCGACGCAAAGCATCGTCCATGCCACGCTTGGCAGGCGGCTTAGATTCAATCGCCGTCGATACGGATCCGTCATCCGTATCAGGAGAGTACGAGACACCGAGCTCGTACTCTGTGAAGACACGAGTGTCTTCATGACCAGCACCTGCATCACCAAGTGACACAGGCTGGGTCGCTTCAGCAACCGATGAGACATCAGTTGCTGTTGTTTCTGCTTCGGCGTCCGCACAGAGACGTGCGGACGCGCTCTCGGCGGCCTTGCTCGCGCATCGCATGGGCTTGTTTACCATGCGATGAAATGTTGGAAAGTGGACTCGGACCAACAAGTGCAAACCCTGTCCCACATGATTTGGGACGAGTATCCATTTAGTCAATCAGTCACTAAAGTGACTGATGGTTAAGGGGGGGTGATGTAACGGGGTGAATCGTTACATAACAATTTATAAGAAATTGTTAATAGAATATAACTATAAGAGTTATATTCTCAGAATATTGTCACAACGACAAATATTTAGTAGCACTTACGAGTAGTTCCTAATTGGTTGATATAGGCCATTATATCAACCAACGAAGACGCGCCACGACAGACGCACGCAATGAGTGGTGAGCAGATAACTGATTTACACATTTGTATTTAGACATAGTTTTAGATGAAGATAAATAGTGATTTATTGCAGACATTAACTATTATAAATACAGTTCTACTTTTTACTTTAACCAAGTACTCGCTTCTTCTTACCGTCTTCCTCTGCACGTACGAGTGTACGTGAAGTTACGAGGCACCGCCTTATTCTGTCATCAGAATAAGTAGCTTGTACTGTCACCAGTACAAGCTTCAGGGTGCCCCGTTATAAGTATCCATTAAGTCAATCAGTCACTAAAGTGACTGATGGTTAAGGGGGGGTGGTGTAACGGGGTGAATCGTTACATAACAATTTATAAGAAATTGTTAATGGAAGATAACTATAAGAGTTATATTCTCAGAATATTGTCACAACGACAAATATTTAGTAGCACTTACGAGTAGTTCCTAATTGGTTGATATAGGCCATTATATCAACCAACGAAGACGCGCCACGACAGACGCACGCAATCAGTTGTGAGCAGGTAGTTGATATACACATTAGTATACAAACATAGTTGGATGAGGATAAACAGTGATTTATTGCAGACATTAACTATTATAAATACAGTTCTACTTTTTACTTTAACGAAGTACTCGCTTCTTCTTACCGTCTTCCTCTGCACGTACGAGTGCACGTGAAGTTACGCGGCACCGCCTTATTCTGTCATCGGAATAAGTAGCTTGTACTGTCACCAGTACAAGCTTCAGGGTGCCCCGTTACATACGCGGTCTTTGTTAGTTCCTTGTAACTGACGGGATGACTCGCATTACTGCACATTCAACCTGTAGTCGAGCCGACTGGTCGGCGATGCATACGTTGTGTGTACTCGGCTGCTAAGATACCTGATCATGAACGCATGTTGTACAACGCGGACACAAACTACGACATTTAGGATTTTACGCAGCAAGAAAAACAGTATTGGCTTCACTGAACAGTTATTTTTCCTTAGCACCGCACGCGACTAGCTCTGGCTGCAAAAAACAAAGCCATCCCCACTTCTTGGACACTTCAGACTCCGATTTACAGCGTCTATCATGTTGACACATGCACAAAGGGAAGAGCAGGTCCACTCACTCACAGCTTGATCGATTGAGTGAGCGGAGTCTCAGGCTGTCTGTAGTAAGCGCTGGAAGGCACCTCTTCATCGCTCGAACGCTGGCGTCTCTGGATGACTGTGAAACCAGCCAAAGCCACGACTGCACAGACAGCGACTAAGATGCCGACAATCGCGACACTGGATATGCCGTTACTTTCATCGTCGTCGGCTGGAATTGCATCGGCGCTCAACGTGCTTACGGTCTGGGCGGGCGAGGACGAAGCAGCAGTTTGCTGCGTCAGTTGCTGAGTTTGCTGCTTTTGCGTCATTTGCTGAGTGTGCTGCTGCTGCTGCTCGTAAGTGTAAGTTGTACCGTGGCTGAAAGCCGCTGCCGACTCAGCCGTAGTTTGGACTTCAGGCTCAGTTCTGGTTTCAGGCGTCGAGGGAGCAGTGAACGCGGTCGAGGCATCGATCGCTTGCACATCGGTGGACGTCAAGCCTTGGCTTCCTGATTCAGCGGTAGTTAGCGTCGGCGCGGGTGCCACCGTCTCGGTCCTGGTCGGAGCTGGTCTTTCAGCCCCCTCTTGCTCAAAGACGCAGCCCCAGGCGCCAGTCCCAATCTTGATACACCCAGCATTCTTGGGCGCAACACAAGCACTCGAGTTTGTATAGCTGGACAGCATCTCGTGACAGTCCTGAACAGCAATGTCGCCCTTCATGGGGCACATTGTACCAGCAGGCCAGTCGCCATATCCGCTGCAGATAGGTCCCTCAATGCAGTACGTCGCGTCACCCTCCACGGACACCTCGATGCACGCAGCAGGTGTAGTTGCATTGTGTGTGGTGTCCGGCACAATAATACCAGAAGTCGGGGCAGGAGTTGGCTGCTCTGTCTGCTCGGTCGGAGCAGGCGTAGGGACGCCCATTCTGGTCCTGGTTGGAACAGGCGTAGGAACGTCTACCTTGATCCTAGTTGGAGCAGGCGTAGGGACGTCGATCTTGGCCCTCGTCGGAGCAGGCGTAGGGACGTCGATCTTGGCCCTCGTCGGAGCAGGCGTAGGGACGTCTACCTTGATCCTAGTTGGAGCAGGCGTAGGGACGTCCATATTTGTCCTGGTAGGAGCAGGCGTAGGGACGTCGATCTTAGCCCTCGTCGGAGCAGGCGTAGGAACGTCGATCTTGGCCCTCGTCGGAGCAGGCGTAGGGACGTCGATCTTGGCCCTCGTCGGAGCAGGCGTAGGGACGTCGATCTTGGCCCTCGTCGGAGCAGGCGTAGGGACGTCGATCTTGGCCCTCGTCGGAGCAGGCGTAGGGACGTCCATGTTTGCACTCGTAGGAGCTGGTGTTTCAGCCCCCTCTTGCTCAAAGACGCAGCCCCAGGCGCCAGCCTCAATCTCGATACACCCAGCATTCTTGGGCGCAACACAAGCACTCGAGTTTGTATAGCTGGACAGCATCTCGTGACAGTCCTGAACAGCAACGTCGCCCTTCATGGGGCACATTGTACCAGCAGGCCAGTCGCCATATCCGCTGCAGATAGGTCCCTCTATGCAGTAAGTCGCGTCACCATGCACGGACACTTCGATGCACGTAGCAGCGGGCGTGGCGTTATGTGCAGCAGGTATAGTTGCATTGTGTATGGTGTATGGTGTAGTGGTACCAGGGGTAGTATCCGGCGTAGTGCCAGCAGCAGAAGTATGTGTTCCAGTGGTGTTCGTTTCCGTATTCGACTCAGTCGTGGTCGTACCGGTCGATGAGCGGTTTGTTGACCCCATCTCCACAATCATCGTCGAATCCGTCTCTCCTGATACCTCCTTGTTGTCGGCTTCATGCACAAGCGAACCATCAGAGATCGCGATAGTAGTCGTGGTACTCTCGCCACCTGAACCGGTACTCGTCGTGATCGTCGCACCGTTCGAGTCGGTTGTCGTCATGATCATCTTGCCGTCCGATTCCGAAGCGGACGTTGTCCACCCCGCCGCATCTGTCGTTATACCAACTGGTGTCACCGACGAATGGTTCATCGTTGGAGCATTCGTCCATCCACCAGACGTCGTGTTCATTGCTTGGTATGTGTTGGTGTCCGTTTCTTCAGATCCGGTGGCGACAATCGTCACCGAAGTGCCAGGAGTCGTGGTCGTCATCTGATAAGAGCCTTCTGGAACGGCGGGTGTATTAGATGACACAGAACCACTCGAAACGGGGTTTGTTGTCGTGGTCAGTTCACCGTTCGCTCCTGTTGTAGTGGTCGTCATACCGTTCTTCACATCAGTGCCTTCTCCCGATGTCCAGCTGTCCGTCTGCGCTGTAACACCCGGATTCCCAGGAACAGGGGCTACTGTGTTGGTGAATTCACCGTTCGCTCCTGTTGTAGTGGTCGTCATACCGTTCTTCACATCAGTGCCTTCTCCCGATGTCCAGCTGTCCGTTTGCGCTGTAACACCCGGATTCTCAGGAACAGGGGCCACTGTGTTGGTGAATTCACCGTTCGCTCCTGTTGTGGTGGTCGTCATACCGTTCTTCACATCAGTGCCTTCTCCCGATGTCCAGCTGTCCGTTCGCGTCGTAGCATCCAGATCCTTGGGGGCAAAGGTCGATTCCGCCACATCAGATTCAGTCAACTCCGACGGCAGCTCAGACAACTTATCCGATGCATCGGCCGCCGTTGTGGTTGTCGTGGTGGTCGTTATAGCAATCGTGTCTCCAGAGCTTTTGGCCTCCGTACTTGATGAGTTAGAGATGACGTAGCCAGTGTCCACAGCAATAGTAGACGTCTCATTCTCGCCAAATCCACCGTTCGTGATGATGGTGATGTTGTTCAGAGATTCCTGCGCTGAGTCAAGGCTCGCCTGCACTCGCTGTGTATACGACCTGCGGATGTACGTCACTTGGCGAGAAGTTACACGCCTGTACGACGAGCGAATAGTGCTAATAACCGTCGAGCTGGCGAACCTCAAGCTCTCGGCTGTGTACGCTGAGGAACGCACTGCCAATTGCAGCAAACCGGAACGAACCAGGTCCAGACGCTGACCGCACTGCACACGGTTGGTCACCAGATTCTTGTTCGTTACGAAAGTAGACGTGAAGTTGGACAGCCCGTAGACGCTGTTGAATGTGTAGCACTCGAGCAGCTTCATGTGTGTCGCCACTAGGTCCACGTTACCGTCAAATCGGGAGTACAGACCGTCGTATGCGGTTTGCAGCCATGCCCAGTAGCTGCCCGACGTAGCTACAGACGCTGTAATGTTACGAGCCACAAGGCTCTTCCCCACCGTCACGTTCATCACTACATTCGATGTGTTCGAGTACGTTGCGTCGACACGAGCCGACGTGCTGGATGACATCGGGGCAGAGGTAGACGGCAAGCTTGAAAACGAAGAGAAATTAGCACTCAAGATGCCGTTGTGCTTCGTCGTAATAGCCCCGGCACCGTAGTACGCTGTATAGCCCGTGTATCCGTTTGTCACAAAAGTTCCTTCACCAAATGCTTCGTCGTCCGTACTGAAGTTGCCCAAGTACGCGTATCCGAACTGACTGACGAGCTGTCCGGTCGTTACCGTCGACCTGGCAGCACGCGACGTCATCGTGCTGTTCGCCCTTGTCACTGTTTTTGTAACCTTAGTCGTGGTCACTTTCTTGCCATTCACGATCCTGGTCGTCTTGGTGGTCGTTGTCTTAGTCGTCGTCCTGCTGGTCATCGTGCTTTTGACAGCAGTGGCGTTCAGACTCGTGTACGTTGCAGCAAACGCCCGGTTGAAACCCGTGCACATGTCGTTATTGCTCAAGATCTGCTGGCGTAGCATCTCCGGTAGCTGATACGTGTATGAGTAGTCTCCGAGCTGCTGAATGTCTGCGTAGTTCCAGCTGTCACTGCCCACGTAACCAAAGTACCGGCCAAGTGTTGGGTGCTGCGACGCGTCAACAACTTGCCCGTCGACTGTGATCCTCATTAGGAGTGGCGACTGAGCGTCGACACCGTCCACACCACCGCATGACTGCGTGGCATTGGCGTACACCTCGAGCGACTCAATGATCTGATCATAAGTGAGAGGAACGCCGATCCGGCAGAGGTGGTACACGTGCAAGTACATGTCGAGAGCCGCGTGCCACGAGTAGTAGAGCACGTCATGAGCAGCTGCAGCCGTGGCAAAGACGCCTCCAATAGCATCCAGCACTTCGTGATGCACGCCGTACTGAATACCCTGAAGGAACGTCGCGTAGTCGCCCGAGGTGGCGACGACACTCTGGAACGAGCCAAAACTCGCGGCACTAGGAACGGTCTTGCTGGACACGTCGTCCCGCACGACGTACGAGCCACAATTGTCCTCGTCATTGTCATTGCCAGTACAAACGTCACCGTAGGGGGTTCCGACCGTCGCGTACCCCGTGGCATTCACGCCATTGAATGTCAGCGACGTCTCTTCTGTTGAGTTCTGAGGAGATCCACCAATGGCTTGAAAAATCCCACTGCAGTCAAACATGTTGGAACAGTCCCCATTCACTGACTGAATGTATGCCGTATGCACGTCATAGTACGGGACCGTGAGACAAGCGAACCGGTCATCAAGCTCGCGAAGGTACGACTCGTAGGCCAATAGGAACCGACGGTGCCAGCTGAAGAACGCGCAAGAGTATTCGCCCTGGGCCTGGCCCAATGAGTCAGCAGCAATAGCTGCAAACTCAGCGACTGCGCCATTGGCAACGGCCAGGCGACTAGCCTCAAGGTACAGCGCCTGCTCGTCCGATGAGAGTGCGCCCCAGGGTTTGCGCACACGCTGAGCGCCGCAGAACTCGTTGCCTCCGGGCAAACCCGTGACGTTGCCAGCTGCGGTGAGGAGAGGCGGGTCGTACACGTCGGTGGTCGTGCTCGTCTGCGCGGCTGAAGGTGCAGCGTGGAGCAGCGCTGCCCCGAGCGACGTCAACGCGGCGGAGAGCCTCATCAAGACGACAAGGAGAGAAAGAGCCCAAGGCCGAAAGAGAGTGAACACAGTGAGGCTGCTGCTCTCTAGACTCGCGGTTTGTGCAGTCGGTCGATTGCCAATTGAAGAATGAAGCGAGAGGGGGGAGAGTCAAACAAAGCACATGTGCACATGGCGAGCGTAGACATAAATCAGTGGATTCATGGTCACCGTCTGACACAAGTGATCGACGGCGACGTCTGGACTTGACGTTTGTATGCCGAGTCGATCCTCTGATGTGTGTCATCGCTCGTGTACGAAAAAGTCCTTGCGCAAATTTTGAAGTGTGGAAAGGCCCGACTCGAAGCGTCTCGTCTGACAGCGCGTAAAGTCGCTGGAACGTTTCTTGTCGGTCGCCTTTCTGTCTTTGCTGCAAGATCGTCACGCTATTCGCTAAAAACCAGGACTGCCTATCGACCGGTTTGTGGATCTTGCGATATGAGTGGCTAGAATTACAGCAACCCACGCCGCCGCGGTCGCAACTGGGCTTCAACGTGCGATCGCTGAACGTGGGCCAGTTTCCATCTGGTCAGCTACCTTGAAGCAAGACCAGCTGGCGAATGGATATTTGACTTGGACGATTTTCGATCGGTAACCGAGGCGGGCGGTCAGATTGTCCCAGCGAGGCTGAGTGTACGCAGATCGTACAAGAAAAGGAGCGGCCGCAAATAAAGACTTCAGCTCGGTCACGGCATCTGAAATGAAAGAATGTCGTACGTGCACGTCTTTTTGCTGGTGTTACGGAACAGGCAGTTTGGCTGCATATCAGCTGCCGCAGCAAAATCTTGGCTGCACCACTTGACTCAGAAGAGGTGGAGATGCATGTATCAGAGCAACGAATTGGAGCTTTCCGACAACGCAAAGACCATGATTTTCTTGCAGTCGTCAGAGTGGTTACCACTGCTATCGAACTCGAGCGCGGCTTGTGTTGGATTCTCATGGAACTTGGCGTTCTCGATCCGACCTTAGTCGCCTTGGCGCCGTCACCCTGATACACACAATCTCTGAACACCAGCGTACATCGGTCTAGCTCCAGGTGATCGACGAATGTAGGTCGTAATCACTTGCCATGTCAGGAAGATGGATAGAAGCCGAAGCGTTTCGTTCGGCAAAGTATCCGATAATGCACGTAAAATTGGTAGAGTCGCAAAGGGCTTTGGACGGTAGGACGTCGGTGGCTAAGTGAAGGCAGGTCAAAATTCTTGTGACAGGGAACAGCCGACCAGACCACATCACACCAGCGTACTCATTTGCGTCTACTAGAAATGGCGAGCATGCGACACCTAGCGCCAAGAGGCATCTTCTGGTAGAGACGGTCGCCGCGTGTACAAAGTGCGTCCTGTGCTAACACTGGAGCCCCACCGATCACGGATTCACGAAACAGTTGGCAGACACACAAGTAGCCTTGACTGTGGTTTCAAGCGAGCCTTTTATGGCCATACTAGCGGTTTGGTACTGTTCGCTTTCGTCACCCTTGCCTTCTGCTACAGCTCGTGTGTACCATAGTAAGCTTTCTTACTTTAGCCATGTCTTATGGGGATGACGGGGCTAGGTAATTGATAACGCGGAATGACTCCGCATAACTATCGTTTCTGCATTGGTGACTGTCAGTAAAGATGAATCGAGACTACTCGATTGAGAAGCGAGGAGTGAATACATTGTGATGAAAGTAAAAAAATAGCGCATTTTATCACGAAAATAGAAAATGCCCTAGATAATTGGAAAATAAATAAAGGGCCCCACGTCCTCCTATCCAGTGGAGCGTGTCTCAATAAATCTCCATAAAATAATAATCTACGTAATTTAATTGGATGGCTCAGGCTAATTCGAGTGGTCCTTGTATCTGCATTTTGTATACCCTTGTTGATAAATTATAAATTAAAAGACTAGTCCCAACCACTTCGTATTTAACACTTTGCCCATTTTCCGAACGATGCAACATTAAAAAGCTGGCAGATCACGTTTGGTAGAGGTTGAGTTTAACGAAGTAGCCCGTAACATGATATTGACACCAAACGGTGTCAAATAGGAATATTGTCTAGTATGACAATGTCCTTCCAATATAATCCGAGATGGATAATTTAAAGGAATAGTATCCCCTTTAGGATAATATTCATGCGCTGCTCCAAGATTGGTTGATACAAGACACATCAACCATAGACTACCACCAATCAGTGCTAGACGCGCGCAATGAGTGGTGAGCAGGTTGTCGTCATACGACGACGTTGTTTAATTTAGTTAGGTAAAGGTTAAAGTTATATTGCTAGCTTAACTATATTAAATACAATTCTCTTTTACCCTTTACTCAAACTAGCAGTTTGAGTATATTAGCTTCCTCTGCACGTACTAGTGCACGCAAAGGTTCGTGGCCACCACGCTAAGGGTGCTCCGTTACATTGAGCCTGCAGGGCTCGCACGGCCAAAAAACTGCAAAGGGTTCTGCACATCAGCAGTAGGCAGAGCAGAGCAATGATCAAGGACTACATTTTGCCGATAGATTGACGCCTTTTCATACTCGTCGCGGATTCCATTTAGCGTGTCCTCGATGCTTGTAGACTGTGTAGCGGATGTGGCAGCAGGGTATGGCTGAACTAACCACTAATGCTGATCTAAGTCGTTGACGAAGAGGAGGGTTGCCGATTTTAAGGTGTGTATGCTGGGTGGGCCTTTTGTAAACTTTTACATGCCTAAATAATCCCGGCACCATGTCGCTGTCGGTATTGCTGAAAAGCATATCGCAATCCGGCAACAGAAACTTTCTACATCACCGCGGATAACACTGGGCCGAATTGTAGACCATCAATTGATCTCCCCTATGCCGTTTGATGCCTAATTTCTACAAGCTGGTCATCGCAGGCAAGTCGTCAAGCTGCTTCCACAGTCAACAGATCCCCTGTAAAGTCTGCAATCCATTTTTTTTAATGCTGCATGAGCGCTTTCAACGCGCGAGGTATTGACGTGACCAAAGTGGAGCTTATTCCGCAAAAAGCAAGCCACGAATTTGGCCTAGTTGATAAAGTTTGTATCTTGAAGGTACTGCATGACATGTAAAGGAAACTCTGCTTACAGCAGTGCTAGTCGCTCCTCGTAGATCTCTGGCGTCTGCGACATCACGACACCATTCCACTGACGCTCAAGCTCCTTGAATACCTGCATTGAGTCAAAGTTCTTGCGCTGCTTGGCCATTATATTCTTGATGATGTGCCATAGGCAGTGGAGAAGTCAGCTCTTGAAAATACCCCATCAAAGGCACGTATCAAGGCCATTTCAAGGTCGGTGACAAAAGCTTTTGGCAGGCTCAAAGTCTAAAAAAAATCGCAAATTAGCCGCATTGCCCAAAAAGATGTCCTCCTTTAGTGCCGACATGAAACAGGAGGCAAATGTGAAGGTTTGCTCAGTTGCAGTCACGCCGACGATGTGCAGCAAGGGAAGTCCAAATCGGTTGGTTTTGTAAGTGGCGTCAATCAGCCAAACTTTTTGCCGGCATAAAACTTATTGCAAATCTCCTTGGCTAAAGGAGAGATGATCTCCAGGTGAATCAATAGTCGATCGTCATTAAAATGCGTAAAGAAGGGAACTTGGTGTGCTTCGCGTTATCACCGCCGCGTCCGGTGCTGTATTCCTGTCTGAGACAAGTACAGACTTCTAGCAAATTATCAAAATAGACAGTTATGGATCTTTCTCTCTCTTTTTACTTGAATGGGTATGACTGGTTTTGATGGCACGACATCCCATAAACCTCTGCTAGCATTCGTTTGTTAATGTCGTTTATGGTGGTGCTGTAAAACTTTTTAAAAACTCGGTTTATCGCGAATTCGGTAGAAACCTATAATCTATAAACTGATTGTCAATGAACGCGGTAGAATCCGTTCGGAAATGTCATGTTCATATCAAAGTATGTAAACACTGGCATTACAGATAGTAGTAACTCACTTGGCAAGTGCTTCATGTCACGTAAAATTTGGACACGATGAAGAAACCACGAAATTTTCAAGAAATTTAGACAGGACGTTCGACGAAGTTGCGTTCTCGAGGTCGTATGTGTCTCCACGACAGTCGACAAGATATCTGGACGGACTCGGGCAATATGATCTTCATGCTGTCCGTCACTAGAATTGGCTTGTATCCTAGAGTCCGCAGCGTCACGAATATCTACCGTCGTCGCGACCCTCAAACGAGCGTCGATAGGTTTGCTGACAATACAAACTACGAAGTGTCTCTTTTGCTGCACTAATTCGAAAGACGATCTCCTTCAGGCTGCTTTGTCGATCTACTTATTTCTTAAGCTACCTACAGAGTCAGTAGCAGCAATAGGACGCCATATTAGAGCCACAGCAACGCTTCTTACGACCTTCCTTTTCACGACCGCCAAGGTGCTTTTTTGGCAGGAAAAGCTACAGGTATTTATTAATCAAAAGTACAATCCACAAGAGTGAGAAGTTACCACCCAATCAAACAGATCGGCAATAATAATTGTAGCCGTACATCTCATGTGTAGAACTTACCACCCAATCAAACTAATCAACATTGATAATTGTAGCCGTACAACTCATGACGCTGGTGCTAGTTCTAATTCCGACATGTATGTTACCATTACCAGCTGAATACGATCCTGACAATGACATCTTGCATCGCTGCCGATACTGGGTGTGAAATTAAAGGACATTCTTAAAAGCCATTATTGTCGGTACAGTGATGTTTGTTTCCGGTAATAGACCCACACATGTGCTACAATCCTTGTCGCCGAGTTCTTCACTGGTGGCACCGATATCGCAATGGTCGCGGGGGGGATGTTCCGCGTAGAACTTTAGCAACTTTTGATTCTTGAGTAGCTTTTGGACACAGACCATGTCGTTTGCAGCACCGTAGTCACCCACCCTGTAACCCTGCTCAGTATCATAAATGCTGGTACAGCAACTGGGAACGTGGCAGCCGAAAATACTTCTGGTCGGTCACCGATTCTACCCAGAGAACACGAATGATGCGCTTCCGTTGATGGACTAAGTAGTAAGAATACTTCTCGGAGTGCTAGAGTTAAAGGTGGAGAAGCTCGTACAATTGTCGCAACATGATACTTTTATCGAGCAAAAGTGTCTAACGGTCGGGTCAATTTTTCATTCGGCTGCGTTATTTAAAATGTTTTCAGGGGTAACCCAACACTACGCCTGATTCATTCGGAAATAGATCTTTACTAACTACAATTACATGTTAAAACTTGGGAATCACTCGATCGCCGCTATCTTCTTGATCCGTCGCCTGCAATTTTACCCAAATATACTACAAAAACCCAAAATTACACCGAATTAAATACCAGTCATGTTCTGCTCCTCAAAACGTACGTGAATTCGCCGGAATCACTTTTTATGTTTTTTGTTTTTGTCGTTCAATTCTATCGCTCCCTGTTTAAATTAAAAAGAATAATTAACAATGAAGAAGCTGTCAAAGGCGCGTGACAACATAATCAGGAGACGTGTAGAAGAACTCAAGCGCGATATGAAATCAAAATTAGCACATACGCGAGTATAGCCATTAAGCGATGAAAGCGCAAGGTTGCCAAACATAGCCGATATTTTGCGCTCCGTGAGAAGGACGATACGAAAACGCAGCCAATTACAAGTCTGGGGATCAACGCTAGCCGACATTCTCTCGACCAAATTTGTCTGTTACTAAGGCAAGCATACGTTTGAATCATGTATGTAGTGGTATGTTTTCTTTTCTAATATTGTCCTAATTCTACCAAAACGATTAAATACTCGATGAAAGTGGTACTTGCGTAAACGATATACAGAGGCATCTTCTTGATAACTTTTAAATAGCGTCGATGACGGAAGTGACTCGTTTGCTACCAGCAACTAAGTAGTAAGACCGCTGGATAAAGCGTTCGGAAACAAGGGTAATGAAATACACCCATCGCAGGCAGATGTGTCGAAGCGGTCTATTGATCTCATGTTAAGGGGCCGCGTCAAAAGGAACGAACCAGAGAGAATCCAAGCACGCGGCCGAACTCCAGGATAGACGAACCATTATTGCGATCCCGAAGAGTGAAGCTTTTTCGTGAGTGTACGCAAGGTTATATATGCCGAACTTTTGAATCTTACTAATCCATATGTCTGTTTATGTGTCTCCAGATAACGCGGCTAGGTGTAGCTTAATCGTACTAAGTGCGATCTAGCCTGTCCCCACCACATTGGCATATAGGTATCAAGTGATCACTCTTTGGCTAGGTTACTATTGAGATGATGGCTTGTGTTTGATAAAAATCAATTAAAGGTGGATACAATCACATAGGGAAAGGCTAGCTGCTTATAAGAAAAGGCTGATCGCGTCATCCTATCATAGTGTACTGGGTGATACCAACATTAACAGTATCATAATCATAATTAGTGAATGCTACTGTATAGCATCTTACAACTTAATTCGTTAAAATGAACTGTGTTATGAGGAGGAATTCAAAGCTTGCTCCCCTATCTTATTTTAGATCGATGCAGCGATTAATTCTATAGTTGACATGTAGAGCTATCTTTTTAGCCGATTCTTATTGCTCGGCGTTATTTTATGCATTGTTTCACTGGACACAACACTCACACATGATCCCCTGTGCCGCAAAACGAAAAACACAGCAAGCACTAAGGAAAAAATATGGTAAGACGGTAAGAAAAGACGATGCAGCTCAGCTTGAGCGTAAAAAAGGAGGACTGGATAAACATTATGAATGTACAGTGCTTCCTCAGATAAATTCCACCTTAAAACTAACAACTCCCGCTACTAATATGATCGAACGTCCACGTATGTAGTTACATGGTTTTTCTACGGTCTCTAAATTATGACTTATAACTTTTAATAAAAGCCATGAAGCAAAACGTAATGCTATAGATCCAGATGTTTTCCAAGTGTGAGCGATAAAACCTATTAAAGCCAACCATCGAGTGTGGTTTGCGTGTCGTTCGCACTGCGAGTGCCAACCTGTTGTTTGCGAAATAGCTTGGACACATTGTGATTCCTGGGACAGAAGAACAAGTTACAGGCACTACCTTAGATGGGAGTATGCTCGCGCTTGATAAATTTGTGTGTAATTGCCTATATTGCTGATTCAGCTCCTTTTTCATTCCTTCTCTCCCCACACTAATTCTAGAATTTTTTTATCACTGAGCTCCAGCTGGGCCCTCTCGTCCTCTCCAATAGAGTTAATTAGATCTCTAATGTAGATAAAGCCAAAAAAACGGGTTTTTAATGGAAAACAAGAACCCCAGCAAACAGCCCATATTGCTAGTGACATTGAATTCGAGGCACAACCTAAACCTATACTACAAGCATAAGGTGCGGAACTGTGTCAGTGGCCCTTTAGGCTATCATTCTGCTAATTTGGGTAGACTTGTTGGGGGTGGAAGAGGAGTAAGTGGGTTCTGGATGATAATTCTACTTTTATTGACTATACTAGAGTGCACCTTACAGAAAAATAATATTTTTTTTGAAGTTTAGTCCTATTTGTTTATTAATGTAAATTAACGGGTTTAATTTGCTATGTGCGATGGCACCATAATCCTACCACCTCTGCTAACTTATCGATAATGTTTACACTAAGGTTAAAAGTTAGTAAAATGAGACCTGTACATAAAAACTGATTTCAGCAAATTCTTCTAAGTTTCGGGGAGCAAAAAAAATAGTGACATCCAATCGAGTACAACTTTAGGTAATTGTAGTACATTTGGGTAAAACTGCAGGCGACGGATCAAGAAGGTAGCGGCGATCGAGTGAATTCCAAGTTCTAACATGAACTTGTAGTTATTTGGGATCTGTTCCCGAATGAATTAGGCATAGTTCTGATTTACCCCTTACAACAAATAAACTGACCTAACCGAATAAAAGATGGACCCAGCCGTTTAATTTATACCAAAAAAAGACCGAGGGCCTAAATAAGGCCCCCTTAATTTTAACATGTACTAAAACTAAAAAAAGAGCTAGATTCGGCATTTCGTCCTTAATATTTCGGCAATTGTTGAAATTTGTTAGTGTCAGTCAAAATTATCTAAAAACGATCCTGCAATGTGATGCGTTGCGTTTGCACTTTCACTGCACGAATCGCGAAAGCAAGGCGAAATAATTTCACTGAATAATGCTTTTGAGGATGGGTTGTCATTGATGAGCAAATTTGTATACTACATTTAAATTAGTAAGAGTCTTGTTTT